CTGGAGTGGCCTCTCCAGGGGCGGGTGTGGATAGAAAAGGAAGCCAGGAGGGGCCCAAGCAGCTGACTTTGTGAGACTGAGCTTTATCTGGCCTCTACCCGTTGACCTTTCAGGCATGATTTGATATACGGCTGTGAGAAGCCATCCTGTGTAGCTCACAGGGTCATTGAGGCGCGCAAGCCATCACACCACGTCAAGGTGCAGTCTCATCGTGATGGAACGGTACTTATTAGTTCATCAAGTGCGTTTTGCGCATCGTCCATACATTCGAACAGTCAGATGATGTCATCGGCGTACTCTAAATCCAGAAGAGAAAGAGCGGAAGACGAGGCTCCACTCATATGTGACTGCAGTATTAAAACATCGGGTGGATTTGTTTTGTGTATAAGGTGCGTAGGTGTAACGAAGCCCTAATGCCGAACAGAAAAACAGATTTTTGCGCAGCGCAAAAGGCGAGTGTGGATATCAAAGGGGAGCAGCAAATAATTTGTGGATGAACCCAGGAGAGTGGAACGAAAGGGAAGCGAGTTGAAAATCTATTGATAAGAATATGGGGCACGTTAAGAAGGGAGATTTTGGAAACCTTTAAACACATATGGTTGGTAGAACCCCATGCGGAGATTAGAGGCAAGAGAGGCACTGATGACAAAGCGATTGTGACAGATGTTGTTAGTGCCCGGACGGATTGTGGGGTGTGAATAAGAACAATGGAGAGTAGTATCAACGGCGAAACAGTGTATGCTGTTGGCCCCGTCTTCATTCAAAAAAGTGGAAAGACTGTGTCAGAACTACCGAGGTATCAGTCGGTCTTTTCTAGTGGTTTGACCGTGTTCTCCGGTGTCCCACAATGAAGCTCTCTTCCTAACGCCGTGTTCGGGAAGGTGCTCTCCTCTCGATGGTAAGGTAAAGAGCTGAAGAAATACGGTCAAAGAAGACATGGAGCACTATGATCTGAAAGACATACATGGCTCCGACCGCGCATGAGTCGTTATCATTAGAGGTACCGATAAAACCGAGGCATCCTCACGCAGAAGTTAGTTGCATCAAAGTAAAAAGCAAGGTCAGAGGAAGGTGTGTGACAAGAAACGTTCGAGAAAAAGGGACGGCGAGCTACAACAGGAATATACATCTAAGGCCTAAATGTTCTTTTTCGTTTCACAACTAATCGTATGACATGTATGGCTGGAAAAGTGCACGTTCACTATAGCCGGAGCCTTCTTACCTCTTCAAACTGGCACTGGCTATCAGCAGACCCGCGGAGTGACAGGTTCCATGCGACCAAACGACTGGGTACCTCACCGGTCAAACCGATCATGCACACCGGCAGCTGGTCACCAGGGGGCACAGACAGGGGACATACGACGCAGTCCACCAGAGGACAATCTCCGGGTGTGGTTGTCACACAAATTGGTCCCCACTCGGCACTGGAACCATCCGTCGAAATGTGAACCGGTATGGTAAATACCACTGGATGACTGAACAAAATCACGAATGAATCAGAATCAAAGGAATCACAGTCAAATAATAAAACCAATGAAAAGTAAGAAAGACGTAGCCTAGAACAGTACTCGTGAACTCATGAAGAAAACTGTGGGATGAGGTGTGAGAAAAATATCACATTTTGTTTAGGCCCTGTGTACTTCAACACGACTGGAATCATTATATTGCTACTCCCGCGTCTTAGGAAAGGCAATCGTGTTATTTTAATCGTTATGTTTGCGCGAATTGAAATTCAACAAAAAAACGGCAAACGAAATGACGAACAGGATTATTTTTTATTTCAGTCTATGCAATCATTAACCATGAACGTTCGTGCGGTGGTTTTGGTTGCTATCTTTCGGATGTCTATTTGGATGAAGCAGTAGGAGAAAGACAGGAAAGTTGAAAGTTTAATCGAGGAGGAAATGTAAAACTTCGATAGACTAAGGTTTCGAAGAAATTGAGAATATGCACGAGCTTACGCCACTCGGTCACATCACTCAGTGTCTCTAATCACTGATCACTTTGATTAACAGGGTAAGTGATTAAAGTTATTCACAGTGGCTTGTCATCGGGTCAAAACGTCAAAATCAATCAAAGAAGGGCGGACTGGAGGTTATTCCAAACGTCACCCTGCTCCGCAGAACGATGAAAATGAATGTGCTGATAATGGAAGAATTGACGGAAACAGCAATGAATAGTCTGACGGTAAGCAAAAAGAAACCCGTGAATATGGATTATCTAGAGGGACTTTTAGGGGTTACTGGCGAAGCATGATCCGGTACTACATTACTTACACATTGACGTCACTGATATGTTTGTGATTTGAACGAAGGTAACACATCGCATTCTGAGGGACCTGTCATTCTTCTGCTACAGAGGAATATATATATATATATATATATATATATATAACCACAATAAGCAGTACACGAATGCCTCGACAAGATTTCCTTGGAAGCACACGACCGGTTTCGCGGTTCTTGCCGCTCGTCAGGCGTGCATATCCGGAAATCTTTTATCGCTTCATTCATACACATATATAGGGAGGAGGCATTGAACGACTCGCACATCTATCAAAAACGACCGGCGGATCTCACAACACCTAAATGTCCATCTACAGGATTGCAGACTCACCTTGCGCAGGCACCTACACAGATATTCGGTTTAATCATGAATAGGCGAGAAACAATCACCCGGCAACTACTTTCCTTAGAATCATCTTCCAACGACAGTCCGTTGATGGTGGGAAATTCCAATTTGAAAGCACCGAGTTCACGCCCGGTACGACTTTGCCAACAACGTAAATAACAATCCTAGAAAGTCAAAAATATCAACAGTGGAGTGAGTGAGAGGGAGATGGGACGACTATCTCATTTTCCTTTTGAAAGAGTGGAAGAGTGAAGTCGTCCATTCGTCCTAATCAGAACGGATATACAGTTCTATGATCTCTATGGTACTTCATAAAAAATCAATTAAGAATCAACTAGGTGACACCCTCGCAACTCCCTCTTTGCTGTTACCAAAGCAAGGGTAGACAGTCAACTAAAAACAAGAAATCAGTTGTGAGAAGCTCAGATACGTGATTTATGATCACATGCAGTCCGAATTTCTGTTATCGGGAGTGTCTACAAACTTACGTGGAGTATTGATGATCTGTTGGAAATCACAGGTGAGACCTCTGAAACTCGAGGAGAATATCGTCCAGACACGATGAGAGTGAGAAGACACTTAGGGTCAATGGGGTTGATATTTAAGAACTGCTGACTTTCTGAGATTGAGGACAGGTATTGAGTTACAAAACGGCCAATGGACTCTATAGGCCTATCAAAGTACCCAACTATGTGGGTAAGAATCCTAACAGTTAATGCATTTCTTGACGCTTTAAACAAAAATCGGAAGTTCCGCATTTCTACTTATCATGACTATTACCTCAATGATTGATGCCTTCCGGCTTTCAAGTACTATCGAAAAGTGATGCTCCATTTTGGGAGAACTGCAATCAGTCGGTGAATAGACGGACACAGCGAATAAGTAGTGACGCTCAGTTCCTCTGCTATAAACCCCCACCGAATCATCAAGCTGTACAGGACATAATCGACCACCGATCACAATCCGGNGGGCTCGAAACGGACGCGTATCCCTGATAATATGCGCAATCTTGAGACCGATAGCCCAGCAAGAGCGCGACACACAGAGAGTGGGGTGTGAGGATGAGGTTCGGTCCAGAGAACGCATCGCGACAACTGAAGTTGAATCCTATACGGGAATTTCCGAGACCCGGTATATTTTAGGTGATTTAAGTGATCCGAGTTAAGACAGATTGTTCCCCGACTTGGTGATGTAGGGGCATTGAATGCAGACAAATAAAAAAGCATCTTAGTGTAGTTAACCTGATATACACATACCTAAGGGAGGGGCAAAAACCGGAGGCAACTGGAGTTTTTTTTGCAGTGAAAAGAGTATCTGGACCATTCAAATGGGTACCTGAAACCTTAAGTCAGGCCTCACTTTGTGGTTGCCCACTACAACGAGAGGGATTTTACCCGGGAACCAAACGTATGATATCAGCCGATTCGAGAGACAGAGAAACGATCTACATGATATGGGAGAGGTTTAAACTTACTGCACCAGCGGAACAGAGATACGTGGAGTTCTGGATAAAGGACAACTGGGATACGAATCTAGGCAGGGCGTAGAATGATGAACAGATCTTACGCTGCATGCCCCAGACAGAACGATTCAATTACAGACGGTTGATTAAGCAGGGTGACGCGTATTTTCTCATCCCGATCAGAGGTTGCAATCAAAGTTCCGCAACTAGAGATCACCTTCATAAAAAGGAAGATAGGGAAGCGAGAGTTTTCAGCTGGTATCACATGCAAAACGGTTGATAAACAAATAATCGAATCTCATCGGGTTGAGGCATTGTTCTGAATCCACGCGATGCGGTTTACAAAGGCGGGTATGCAGAAGCCGAAATAAGGAGAAAAAGGGATATTAGGTGATGAGGCTGTGGAAACCTTCCTTTGAGTAACCCTGATATCGAAATCGTACGTGTCGATCGAATTAGCGAGGACAGAATAGTGAGGCGACAGGGGTGTCACACGATTTGGCTGAGAAGTTTAGCATTTTAGACAAATCTACGGATCATGAAGCAAGATAATTAGGAAACCCGACAGATGCTTCAGTGCGTGTAGTCAAAACACACCAAAATTCTCTAGGCCACAAAAAGTTACTTCACGGAGGGCTTGAAGCAAGAAAACGGAACAAAAACATTTTGAATTTTTGGTTCTGAAAGAGCTATCGAAACAAATTGACCCGGTATTGCAAATGAGGTTACTGTGACAAATAATACACTTGCTGGGTACATGTATATGAATGAAGTGGTAAGATTGGCGGACACGCACACCTGCCGAGCGATAAGAATCGCAAAACCGGTCGACTGCTTCCAAAGAAACTGTTGAGTCATTTATATACTTCTTATTTATGTGTTGTGGGATGTGATGCTGATTTGGACTGGTCATCCTCTGAACTTCATCTTCACGCACAATCTTCCGTTCATCGAGCGATCCATACACTTGGGAAGCACGGAACTCGAGTTTGGCTCCCGTTAGATCCCGACAATGGTAGATATCCATCGACATCCAGGAGTGAACCGATTGCATGAAAGGCATGTACAAACCAGCTAACTTAGGGGCCGATCAGAACTACCACTTTAAATGTCGTCTCCAGGGATAGTCTATCCTTCCTTTGGACCAGACAAGGGAAGGAGACAGAATGCTATTTGTCAACTCCACTCGAAAGCCTAACAGGAAATCACGCCATCCTTGAATGTTTGGATGTACTATCCCAATTAAACCGAATAGGATCGAATTTTGGTTCGTAATTATCTTAGTCAAAACGGCTGAATATGAAGAATCAATCCGTCATTTTGCCATGTTTCAGACGGAAAAGTGGATGATGAGGTTCAACGAGAGCGACACTCGAGTCTAGTGTGGTTGATTGCATTATCTGAGAACTGTGCTTGAAGATGAGGTCTGGAGGACGGTCAGTCCTGATCAATTGTTCACCAGGGGAGTATTTCTACTTGCCAAAATCGAAGGTTCTGTTGCTGAACCAGAGGCCGCCTTAACCGCAGTTTGATGAAAAGCATGAACGGAATACTTCGAAGAGAGAGAGACTGGTAATGGTACTACATTGTCTCTGTTTTTGTCGCACTTTATTTGAATACATTTGCGAATGATATTTTATGACAACTCAATTGTAAATTACTTAATTTTCTTTTGTTTAAAAGTGGTTTCGGTGACCAGTGTGCAAAATACGGATTTGAGATGTTTTGATTATAGAAGCTGAATAAAATAATTCGAGCAATTTATATATTCACCAGCCGAAAACAGTCAACGTGTTGACAGTACACGTGGAAACAAGGCATGACGCAATGCAGAGCCATTAGGTAGAGTAGGTGTTTCGCGCCTTCCACGGATCCGAAAGACACCGCAACTGGTTGGTTGGAGACGTTGAAGGATATGGTAGCGAACCGACAGCAGCGGTGTTTCTGTTGTCATTTCTTATCAGTTCAGAATGCTTGAAACGGTATGTATGCAGAGTTCGACTGCGTAATCTGTGTTGACCATAGAAGTTCATCTTCTTCCTCCTCCCTCAAAATAGGTCCAATCCCTGTCCACCACTAACCTTGGGAGTTTGGCAGCGATGAGTGCTGTGCGATGATGATGTTGAGAGCAAAAACGATAGAAATCGTCTCGAACGAAGTAGAAAAGGTAACATGGTTTCTACACGATAGAACAATCCAATGGACTATTTCAGAGTTACTACCTGTAACATGGTCTCTGTGTCCGTGATTCATTAGTATTGTGGGTTGCTGTATTACATGGTCACCAAAGCTACCGTGAAATACGATAGTGTACATCATTTTGATGTTCTCGTGCTTATCTTAACCTTTCCTGTGACAGGCAGGTGAAATCTACAATTTGAAGGCATCTTGTCTATACAGTCGTACGAAAAATGATGTATAAGCCAAGAAGAGGAAAGCGGTTGAGCCTGGATAATGGCTTTTACGGTTCTGTCCGAAATCAACGGTGCCAGTACATTATTGAGAAAAAAACGGTTTGATACTTTGTGTATCCATTTACTCAACTGCATTCAAAAATGGTATCGGTCTGCTTTAGCCAGCCCAGAAATCTGATAATTTTATTAGTACTGACTGTAATTAAGTAACGGCTATTGTTCGGTGGTATAGGCTAGACTGTGATTACAAAAAGGAATCCGAGTTGTAAAGAACATTACCAAAAATGCGACCGGAAAAATGCAACGCAAGGATAGATCAGCTTACAATGTCTGAGAGCATTGAAAGATGACCGAACAGAGGATTGGCATCTTTGAGCGAAGTAGTTTCGTAAAAACAAGTCACCGGTATCTTGAATACATTTCCAGACTTATCTCCAAAGATCACAGCCGATCGATCGGGACTGAATAACAAGGATGATGACTTTCTGGGTATCTGACTGGATTACTTTAACAGAAAGATAAATTTAACACAAACCACAATCCACGTGCAATCCAAACTTCCGAATCACGAGAAAACAAGTGCAAAGATTTACTGTCTGTCTCGATACACATAAGTTCACCATCTTCGGACAAAGAACAAGCAATTGATTTGGAATTATTCAATTCCTGAGGCCTTTAAAGGTCTTCGTGTGATGCATGCACAAACCGACACATACCTGTGTATCTCAATCGACCAAGAATTAGTCCTGAAAATAAGTTTGTTAGAGGAATATGAACAAACCTGTAGGTCGCTGACCCAAACAATCCATCCAGACTGAAAATCACTTGATCAGCAGCGGCTGCTAGCATTACTGATTTGGACTCTACAGAAGTAAATGAAAAACAACGAAGTTAACAGTACACGAAGAACGAAACATATTATCCTAAGATTTTACTGAAAACGTTCCCTTCAGATCGCGTGCTGACTTAATTTAAGCGACTTCTTAGCTTCAAAGAAACTTTGGTGCACCGGTTTTGGTTGTCCATTTGGATAAAACAGCAGAATGATGATTAGAATGTGGAGAGCAGATTCAAGCGGAAGATAACACGTTTTCATTGACTGAAGTTACAAGAATAATGAGTAGATGCATGAGCGCCACTGTTTGCGACACCCAGCCATATCGCTCAGTGTCTCTAACCATTGGTGACCATGATCTCTGGCTTCCCAGCAAGGGAGCCTAACGGGACCTATGTGAGCCAGTCTCCTGGTCAGGGTTTTCGTACCCTCATGCAAGGTCTTAGCTTGACCGCCCTTCATTTTTTTCCAACCGCTACCTGCCTCGCCAAGCGAAGTTGTATTCAACCATTAAAGAAAGGAAAGGCTGCGGGATCTGATGGGCTTCTCTTCATTCTTTTCAAGCTGGATGGTGACTCGTCAACTCGATTACTAAATTACGTTGCAGCATCTGGTCGTAAGAGTGTACTTCTTTCTCCTGGGGTGAATAGTTGAACATTTTAATCCTCAAGAAGAGATCACAACGGTTGTACGAACCACCACCGGATACGTTTAGTTCCGTCATTACAATTGTTAACTTCACCGCCTGACACCCAAAAGGAGATGACTATTCGGGAACAGCAAGCAGGATTCCGATCAGGTCGCGGTTGCGTCGACCAAATTTTCACACTGCGTCAGGTCCTCGAATTGCGCCACACACATCGTCGATCAACAATAGCAATGTTCCTTGACGTAAGAGGAGCCTTTGATATATATATATATATATATATGTATATATATGTATATATATATGTATATATATATATATATACAACACGTAGTCAATTACATGAATTGGCAGATGTGCCACAACATTTGAAGAAAGAGATGTAAAAACGGTTTAAATGTAAATCAACGAATAAGAGTCTCGCAACAGGTGCGCCATTGATGCCGGTTACCAGCCATGTCTGCAAGTACATCAAGCTATAGATGTTCTCTGTCCTTGCAATTCAACCTGGGAGTCTAGAGCGCCCTACCACAGCCAGTTTTGTGGTTAGCGCCTTCAATGTTCGAGCCCAAGTTATTCGCTGGCAACCGTGCCGCCGCTTCCAGTTACTATCTGCTTGCGCAAACATAACACGGTGGGGCAATCGTTGAGCTGGCATCCGCAACACATGTCCTAACTATCGAAGTGTCTGGAGCGAGAAGACGGTGCTCAGAGGACGACTTAGATTGTCTGCGGTGATGATTCTTCGAAGAAACTCGTCGCTGGTGATTTGCTGTTGCCAACGTATTCTGGCGATGCAACGAAGGCAACCGTGGTCAAAGACACTTAATCTCCGTACGTCTTCTGCGTGGAGGGGCCAACTCTCACAGCCGTAGAGTAGAACAGAGCGTACTATGGCATTGTAAACGCGGCCTTTCAAGGAGAGACTGAGATTGAGTCGGCGCCACAAGCGACGTAGGTTAGCGAAAGCCACTCGAGCCTTGCGGATACGCACTGATATTTCCTCCGTCAGTCCTCTTGAGCTGAAACAACTCCCGAGATAAGTAAAGTGATCGACGATTTCCAACTGGCCGTTCATCAGCGTGAGAACAAGTGTAGCCTCTTGTCAGTCTTGTGGTAAAACCTTACATTTCGATGGAGAAAATGTCATACCAAACTGCGTGACGGACAATGCTAACTTACACAGGACATTTTGAGCGTCCTGGGAGGAGTTGCA